TTGGACATCTTGGGGGGTACCCCTCGGTCTCATTTCTTGCTGGGTCACTGCCTCACCGACACTGAAATAGACTGGCCCCTCACGGTTTGCTGCATAAAAGTGTTTTCAATTTGTAGGACGTAAGACCACTTCGTTTGTCTGGTTCACAGTATACCCTGCACGATATGCGGCTATAAGGTGGACCCCCCCCCACATGTGATGCACAAGCTGTATACCCTAAGGCTATTGTGCCTACTGCACCCCCTTCTGAAATCTGAAAGGAATTCCAAAGATTTCATCAACACAAAAGAAAACGCAATAGAGGGGTCCCCCTTTGCCGCATATCGTGCATTATATGCCAGTTCCCATGTAATCATGCATAATATCAAGCCGCAGCCAACTGATTCGGACACGGTCTTCGTATAAATAAAGATACACGAATGACGTCATCTGATAAGAGTGTCCAACTGAAATGTATGAAGGCCAAGGGGGATTCCTTCACCGTCCATATTACTCAACCCCTACCAATAAAAATACGTTAAATGTACGCTGCTGCTGCTCTTCCCGTCAGCCATCCCTTCTGCCTGTACGCACTACAGGGTGCACCCTTGCAAAGAGGCTAGAAATATGTCCGCCGAGCTCATTAATAGAAGATATAGACTGAAAATATTCTATATTAGAGCGTCCTGAGAGCCATGGAACTGGGGAATTGTAAAAATATGGCACTGAACCTCTGGACCGGACTCAGGGCTTCCAATTCTGAGCAATTTGGATGCAGTTGGGTCCGAAAGTGGCACTATTTGAGCCATTTTGCAGAGGGATGCATTTTCAAAATGGCTACTTTCCCGGGCAGTGAAATTTCCTCCGTTTTAGGGCTGGTCTGCTTTGGGTGAGAATTTCTCAAAAACTCATTAGTCAACCCACTAAAAATTAAAAGGAAAATGAAAGAGGACATGTGGAACACTTAATTTTTCTGTGCAGCTTGAACACCTGTGAGAGTTGTATTTTTAAAATATTTTTGAAGTATGGGGATTTATCACTGCTGTCTATGGGAATTTATTTGTAGTGGTGCACCCTACACGGTCGTCGCGCTCGGCCTGGCAGCTCGCACAACCCTTATCAGGCGCCCTCATTTGAAAGTCTTTATTGTACAACGTATGTCATACGTCACCCAGTAAGTCCGACTTGACGGATAAGCTAATCGGACCCCCCGTCGATAATAATTATGTAGTTATTCATGACTGCATATGAACGACATGATCTTGCGTAATGTATACGGAATTTCTACCAATCAACGGTAGTCATACTTGTAGACTCCTTCATAAAAATGCAGGTATGAATGACGTAAAACAAGTAGGGCAACATGATTGGCTGCCACACGTTTAGTAGATGAGCCCATTCGCTGTGTGCAAACTGTTGGCAGATTCTGAACTTATGGCAATAAGTGGACACAAGAGGGCGCGAAGCAAGTAACGGCGCGTGGTCAAATGATCTCTGTGGGTCAAGACCAGTAAATAAGTTGCCATAGACAACAGTGATAAATATCCCCACTTCAAAAAATCAGGAAAAACACAAGTTTCACAGGTGTTCAAGACACATATCAAATTAAACCTCACTTCCTCATCTTTCATTTTCTTTTCAATTTTCAATGGCTTAACCGATGACTTTTGAAGATATTTCTTCCAGAGAAAATCACCCCTCAAAACAGGAGGCCCATCGCCATTTTGGAAATTGATGCCTTCACCTCATGGCAAAATAGAGCAATTTGGAGGGCCCCGTTTGGTCCGATATTTTCAGGAATACAAGCTGGCAGTCCTGCCCCTGAATATCATCCACCTTACCAACCGCCCAGTCCACGTGCCACGAAAGGCTCTAATAGCAGAGAATTTTACAGCCTACAAATCGGCATTTGGTCCGCGAAGGCAATTTGTACCTATTTACTGGCCTGCAACCGTGCTTTGCGAATTGAAGCGACTGCCCGGCCATCTTAGGCTATTCAATACGATGGCATTTTCTGAGTCACCGGCTTTTAGCGCCGTGTGCACGAATGCACTTGGTGAATGGACTAAAGTTCAAGGTCACACGGTCACTCCAGTTCACACACAGTCAGTTACTGCTGAGCTGCCTATTCACTGTACAGAGTGCAATGTATCCAAAGCATAAACAAAGACGTCACAGAGATCCCGACTTGAGTCAGGTCAGGTGCAAGGGTACACCACGGACGTACAGTATATAAAAACCTGGACTTGCAACGCCTTTGCATGAAGAAGAAGCCAACCAGCGGCCATTTTACCGAGCCGAATACAAATGCTTGTGCTGGCTCCCCTCTATATTGACGTCAGGAAGACCAAAGGCGGGCATTGCCAGGAAACCTTTGTATTTGGCCACTAGTGGATTCAATGAGCTCTATAAGCTGATCAAGGGCATTGCGAGTCGAGATTTTATTATAAACGTCCGTGGGGTGCACCAGCTCCCCATTCCAGGAGTGTAGCCTATGGAGGCCCTGACGGGTTATAAATATTTTGGCGATGTCGTGAATATTTTTCACAACATATCATGAATAAATTTACTACATGTAGTCGCAGCCTTTGTCATGAACATTTTCCCCCAAACTTGAAGGGTCAATATTTGCCCGACCGGGACGTCAAGGCTTTTTAAGGCCTTCCAGAGCTACGGCTAAATTCAAGATACATGTACGTCCTTACCAGTAACAAGCTGTGTAGACAGTAAACCTTGTTTTGCTGAGCCAGGTTGACCCCAATTGTTTCTTTCTCAATGCACAGCTTCACCGTTCACTTGGCATCACACACAACAATGCACGATAGTGGGTGCAGACCACTAATTCAAGTGAGAGTTTCTGGCCAGCTCATTAGCATTAAAATTGCCCCCACAGTATCTTTTGAAAAAGGAGATTGTTTGGCCCCCCAAATGGTGAGATTGTGTAAACTCTTGCCAGTATCAACTCCCTGGGTCTTTGAGCTTTCATCTGAGAGCAGAATGGCTAAAAAATACTGTTGAAAAATACTCCTAAGTGCCTGAGAAAGTTGAAGATTGCCACTTGAAAAACGGTTGCAATCAGAATTCGGAAAAATCACTTTTTGGGGTGATTTTTCAAGATGTATTTTTTT